GTTGTTAGGGTAAATTGTTAGTGACAAATATCATGTAAAAATGTATTGTATAAAATGATGTATATAGATAAAATAATTATATACTAAAACAAAACTAAATGTTATTTTATATGCAAATGTATTGTACAGTTGTCAATAAGGAAATTTCCGTATTTTATTTTATAACGCGTTATACGAAAATTCGCGTTGTATAAATAAATTTGTCGCAATTTTTTTATCGCGTTGTAAAAACTCGCGTTATAGGAGAGTCTATTGTATTTTAAAAATTGGTTCCTTTCGTTTATTATTAAAGACTAGCCGAGTGACCCGGGCAACGCCCCGGGTTTACCCGAAGGACCCGCAGGTGAGAAACTATAGAAGAAAAATTTTAACAAATCAGAAAATGAAATTGCAAACAACAGAACTACACTACTTTAAGGACATGAGAGCACATGCACTGTATCACCATACGTATACCATTTTCAAAGACCCTGCTTAGGATTAAAACTTCTCAGAAGCATAACAATAGTACCAACCTAGAGGTTAACTGGTGTGGATGCATTCCTCTGGGAGTGAGACTATTGAGAAATTCAGTAGGGAGTTATTTTGCTTCTCCGCATTCTAACACTCCAACTGTTAACACTGTGGAAACACTGACTCATGTTTGGTAAGCAATTTCAGGGAAGAAACTATAGACATTGGATTAAATAAATTATTAATTAAATTGCATTAAATAAAAATTATTAGATTTAAATAAATATTATTAGAGTGAAAAAAAAAGAAAGAAATTAACAAATTAGAAAATAAAATTTCGAAAAATACAACTATATTGCAGATAAGATAAGAGGACCTTATTAAAAATACATAAACAAACTGTAATTCGACACTCGATAATTCGACACTTTCGATAATTCGACACTTTCGATAATTCGACACTTTCGATAATTCGACCATTTTAAAAATCAAATTTACAAGGTTGATTGTTGTTTAAATACAACTTTGCTTTTGCATGCATAAACACAGGCTCTTGTAGCAAGAACCCAAATATTATTTATAGTCATAGCAAAAGCAAACTTTAGTGAAAACTGATGCCTCTTCAGAATGAATGGAAGACTGAAATCTGAAGGAGCAGAATATATGGGTCATTTATACTTTCACCAATGCCTTTAGGATCTTTGCGATGGAACGCGTATGGTGTTTCAGCGCATGTGCTCTCATGTCCTTGAAGCACATATACTGACAGTGCCCAAAGTTGAACACACTGTATAGTGTCTGAAATATCTTTGGCCCCTTCGGATACCAACCTTCGCTTCATTCTAGAGAGGCGTTAGTTTTCATGTCATATCTGTAATATAGTTTTGTTGTTTGCAATTTTCTTTTTTTTTTTTTCCTTTCAAATATGTATCCACTCTGAAATATAGTTTGTAAATTTTTATTCCAATTTATTTTCTTATATATATATGTTATTTTTTTTTCATTTCCAAAATATTTATTTATACTTTCACCAATGCCTTTAGGATCTTTGCGATGGAACACGTATGGTGTTTCAGCGCATGTGCTCTCATGTCCTTGAAGCACATATACTGACAGTGCCCAAAGTTGAACACACTGTATAGTGTCTGAAATATCTTTGGCCCCTTCGGATACCAACCTTCGCTTCATTCTAGAGAGGCGTTAGTTTTCACTAAGGTTGGCTTTTGCTATGACTATAAATAAGGCTCAAGGCCAAACCTTGGCTACAAGAGCCTGTGTTTACGCACGGACAACTTTATATGTAGCTTTTTCAAGTGTGCGAACATTGGATAGCATACATGTAAAGATGACCCATATCTTCTGCTCCTTCAGATTTCAGTCTTCCATTCATTCTGAAGAGGCATCAGTTTTCACTAAAGTTGGGTTCTTGCTACAAGAGCCTGTGTTTATGCATGCAAAATCAAAGTTGTATTTAAACAACAATCAACCTTGTAAATTTGATTTTTAAAATGGTCGAATTATCGAAAGTGTCGAATTATCGAAAGTGTCTAATTATCGATAGTGTCGAATTACAGTTTGTTTATTTATTTTTTAATAAGGTCCTCTTATCTTATCTGCAATATAGTTGTATTTTTCGAAATTTTATTTTCTAATTTGTTAATTTTTTCTTTTTTTTTTCACTCGAATAATATTTATTTAAATCTAATAATTTTTATTTAATGCAATTTAATTAATAATTTATTTAATCCAATGTCTATAGTTTCTTCCCTGAAATTGCTTACCAAACATGAGTCAGTGTTTCCACAGTGTTAACAGTTGGAGTGTTAGAATGCGGAGAAGCAAAATAACTCCCTACTGAATTTCTCAATAGTCTTACTCCCAGAGGAATGCATCCACACCAGTTAACCTCTAGGTTGGTACTATTGTTATGCTTCTGAGAAGTTTTAATCCTAAGCAGGGTCTTTGAAAATGGTACACGTATGAAAAGCAGTTCGACTTTGCATGTACAAGTGTGCCAGAGCCCCGTTTGATTACTTGCGCTTGCTGGTGGGGTTGGACTTTTGCAAGAATCAGAAGCCATTGGAGCTTTTTTTTTTTATTTTTTCAGAAAAAAGTGCCCAATGCGGGAATCGAACCCGGGTCGTAGCGGTCGAAAACCAACGGCTTAGACCATCCTTCCACCAACCCCCAGTAAAATAAGTAAATAAAAAGAAGACCAAAAATAAGTGATAATAGTTTATTGAATAACAAATAAAAAAAAATCTTTCAGGTGAAAAATTATAGGCATTGGTAAAAAAGTAAACAAGAGAAATAGCCTAGCGGTCAGGGGAGTGAGTCTTCCACGGCCTTTCCGAGGCATGACAGAAGACGCTCAAAAAAAAAAAGGTAAAATAAGAACCAAGCAGAGGAAATCTATAAAACTGAAAGCCAGGACAGGCATAAAAAGAAAATTCCAAGCATGTGAGGAAACAATTGATGAAAAAAAAAAGGATTCAAAAAAAATACTGCAAAAAAAGAAACCAGACACAAAAAGCAACAATTGAGTACACAAATACAGCATCAGCCTATTTATGAGATGAAAAAAAAAGACAGACACAAAAATGGAGCTAAATTCAAATGAAAAACTATAACAAATTAATAAAAGAAAATAAGACCTAATCCAAATAATTTAATAAAAAAAAAAGCAACAATTGAGTACACAAATACAGCATCAGCCTATTTATGAGAAGAAAAAATAAGACAGACACAAAAATGGAGCTAAATTCAAATGAAAAACTATAACAAATTAATAAAAGAAAATAAGACCTAATCCAAATAATTTAATTTAAAAAAAAGTCACACACTATTAAATTATTTGGATTAGGTCTTATTAATGAGAAAAAAAAGATGCCAAAAAAGATAACCAGATACAAAAATTGTGCTAAATTCAAATGAAAAACTATAACAAACACTTATAAAAGATAGAATAAAAGTAATAATTCAATCTACAATTCGAAAAATAATATAACCTGGTGAGTTCCCAGAAAAGGGTAACTTTGGTAGGCGGCGCTGTACGTTGACACCGCCGTACCTTCGAGCCGTTTTACACGAGTTAAAGCGAAGATTTTGGACATAGTGATTTTTACATTTCGATCTTTTATATTAATATATATACTTACTATTGCGAATTATTTTTCTAAAAACGAACATTATTTTTTTTTAATTATCTGAAACTAACCTAATTCAACTTATCTAAAACTAACCTTATTTAGCGATTAAACTAACATAATTAAACCTATTTGAATCTAACCTCATATACACTTTTACACTACCTTTTCATTTCAAAATTAAATTAAAATAAGTTTATATTAAATAATAACATTTTTAAAAATCGACTTTCTGGTTCACACTTTTGTATCTAATCAATTATGTATTTCTTTATTTCTCTCTATAAAAGTTACGCAATTGTAAACAAAAGAATTGATGATGATAAATGCAAAAAATCTACGATTGTAAAATAGATTAAATTAAAAAATAAAAATAACTGTTAACATTAGGAAAATAAAAACAGGCCTATGACACGAAGAAAAAAATAACGAAAATTTTGGTATATAGATTGTTATGTGTAGTTCAGAATCTTCGGAGGAGATAGCTCAGGACTTTACAATGGAAAACTCTGTTACGGTATTATCTATATAGATTGTTGAATAATTTCGTAAGTAATAAATACAACAAATGGTGAGATTTTTGATAAGTATCTTTATTTTAAATATGGTGTTTATGAACTTCTCTGTGGTGATTCCCATAATAGGATCTGTTAAATTGGACCTGGGAAGTTTATAAATTATATTGTCATCTATCTTTTAAATTTGTAACAAATAAATTTACTAGCAATGTGTTTCTTTTTAATAATATCATCAAATATTATCTCTACAGACCTTACTGTAATGATATAATTTATTGAATGAGAGGGCTTGGCTCATCAGTGGAGAACCCTCTCAACGGTTTCGCCAAATCAATCTCCATCAGGGAGTGTAACAGTCACTAAGGCTATTAGATGCTTAATACCTTTGCTTAGAAAACTTTTATTACAAATATTCTGGTTGATAAATTCGTTTACACTTATGGACAAAAAAAAAAAAAACTTAAGGGAGTGGAAAGTCTTTGATGTCGTCGGTCGTCTGTTTTTTTTTTTTTTTTAGCAAAATAGGCAACATGAGCTTTTTAGATCTAAGATAAAAATTCTCATGGGAACAGTCAGGTTATGTCTATTTTTTTATTTTTAACATATATATATATTAAAAAACGAAAGAAAAAATAAAAGATAAAAAGATCAGGTGTTGAAATCAATATTAAAAATGGCATATCCTGACCAGGAGCACATGTGCTTTTCAGAATAATATATCTACATAATGTAAAAAGATCGAATATTAATATATAGATATGTAATTTAAAGAGAGAATTTTAGTCATAATATAAAATTGTACCAAAATTTCGTGTTTTTGTTAAAACGTTGTTTATATTATTACTTGGTGAATAATATTATTACGCCGAATATATAAGGGGTAGCCAGGGTAGCCTTAGTGGACATGGCATCTGCCTCGTTAGCGGAACACTGTGGGTTCGATTCCCATCCTTGAACACTTTATTTTCCCGTTTATCATTACTCTTTACAATTCATATTTTCATACCTCATCCCCAAGGTTAGAAATAATCATTATTTCTGGTCTGGTTCAAATTCACATTAATAGGTACCGCTCAGCAAGAGCAACCTATTTCATGATAATTGAAACAATGAATAATATATGAAGGTTATTCAGATATTAAACAATTTTTAACGTGGGATACAATCCCGGTGTTACCCACTCATCCACCGGCTTATATAATCGTTATTTCTCCTTGAAATAAATTTTGATTTTTCGTTGAAAAGAAATATATGAGGAATAATTTTCAAATGTCGTTTTACAATTACTTTATACATAATACAAATATATTATACATAACGGTTAATAATATTATGATGAATAATATTGGTATTTCCATTTTTTACAAGTGTTTACGAACTTTTGGGAAAATCATGTTATATAAAAGGTACTTGTAACTGTGTAAAAAAACTTCAATCTCGCCCCTCCCTCCTATCTTTTGAAAAAATAATTTAACTCAATAAAAAACAAGTCTTTCAAAAGTAATAATAGTTTATATAATATTAATATTTAATTAAAAAGGCATATATTGGATCAAAATATCATTTATTTTACCAATATTTCAGTTGTCTGAACGCCAACCTTTATCAAGGTGTTATAAAAAGCTGAGTTTGTTGTTGACACATATTAATATGTTATAATACCTTGATAAAGGTTGGCGTTCAGCCAACTGAAATATTGGTAAAATAAATGATATTTTGATCCAATATATGTCATTTTCAATTAAAGATTTATTTATGGATTGCTCTATTTTCAAAATAATATAATAAATTAATGTACTATTATAATGTATTAATTTTGATGAAAATAAATTATATTTTCTTTCAAAGATCCAGGTTACACCTTTTTTATGCCAATATATTAAATATATATTAGTAAATTAAATTTAATTGCCATCTATCGTTAAAATTTTACACAAATAAATTTACTGGCAATGCGTTTCTTTTAAATATCATTAATCAAACTCATATCATTGCAGTAAGGTCTGTAGAGATAATATTTGATGATATTTAAAAGAAACGCATTGCCAGTAAATTTATTTGTGTAAAATATTAATATATTCAATGAGTCGCCTTTTGAAAAAGAATAGTTTATGAAAAATTTTGTTTCAATTCTTTCAATATTCCCTCACACACCACAAAACAAAAAGATGCCTCAAAGAATAAGAAAACACATGGAGGAAAAATATGAGGAAGCAATAAGGAAATGTCTTGAGATGTAACCTTCCGATAATTATGCAAATTTATTTACATAACATCTAATGATGATAATGACCTGACCTAATAATTCATTCTCTGGGAATTACTCTTCTGAATCGATGGTTCAAAGCATACGAAAATTTCTCTCTTAAAATATGAAGACATTAAGAAGCGAATTGTTTCTTTTCACATATAAATCAAACTTCTACTGTCCTTAATGCGATGAAAAAATATTGGAAGGATTTGGCTCATCAGTGGTAAACCCTCCCAGCGGTTTCGCCAATTTAATCTACCAAACCGTTTCTTAGATATCTATTACTGTATTGGATCATTTTGCTTATATATGTTACACTGAAGGGTGGGGGGAGAAGTCCAACCACACCTCCCTGCGGTGGACCCTTGGAATATTCGACCAAATTCTGGTTCGTTTCCAAGGTGACTAACGTGGCAACGGCACCCATTTTCCAATGAATAGCACACCCAAGATAATAGATATTGCTGCTGCTGTGATGAAGATGCATGGAGACATCTGAGACTCTTCTTTGGACACAACAACAACTGAAGGGTGGAATCTTAGAAATGGTATTTAAGCAAAACTATGGACATAAGCTTTTAGGACAGTAGAATTATATATATATATATATTTAATCGCAGTAAGGACAGTAGAAGTTTGATTTATTTATGAAAAGAAACATTCGCGTCTTAATGTTTTCATTGTTTTTATATAGATGGCGTGTTATTGATTTGCATATACACATCATTAAACAAAACTTAAGGAAGTGGTGACTGATTTTACTGTAAGTGTCACCTGTCTACACATGTGAAAAACAGTTATATTTTTGCACTTACAAGTGTTCAAGAATCCAAGTTTGGTTACTTCAACTCACTGGTGGAGTTGGACTTTTGCAAGATCAGGGGCTATTGGCAAATATTGTTTAATATAAAAAGTCCCCAATACGAGATTCAATCCCGGGTCGTAGTGGTTGAAAACCAACGGTTTAGATCACTTATCCACTGAGCTCCCGATTGTTAGTTAAACTATATCTTTTATATCGTTGGTAAATATGAAAGCTTTCGAGTATGGCTCTGGTTCAATATATATAACAATATGTATATGAGCGTTATGTATATTCATATAAACAGTAGAACAAAGAGAAAGCTTGCATATTTTCTACCAATAAGTGATATATGCTTAGCCCTAAAAACGATTTTTTATTGAAATAACTTTCGTATGAAAATACATACACTCATGGACAAAGCTTAAGAAAGTGGTAAGTATTTAATGTCGCCGGTAATCTTTTTTTAAGGATACAGAAGTAATTTTGTACACACTTGGTTATCTAGTGTGTATTCAATAAAGGTCAATGTAATATCTTTCAGTGCTATTGTCTGAATCCTCGTACACGCTGAAAAGTACAACTTCCTTAAGTTTTGTCCATGAGTGTATTGTCTGAATCCCGATATACATGCTAAAAGGTACAACTTCCTTAAGTTTTGTCCATGAGTGTATTGTCTGAATCCCGATATACATGCTAAAAGGTACAACTTCCTTAAGTTTTGTCCATGAGTGTATTGTCTGAATCCCGATATACATGCTAAAAGGTACAACTTCCTTAAGTTTTGTCCATGAGTGTATTGTCTGAATCCCGATATACTTGCTGAAAGGTATAACTTCCTCCAGTTTTGTCCCTGAGTGTATTGTCTGAATCCCGATATACATGCTAAAAGGTACAACTTCCTTAAGTTTTGTCCATGAGTGTATTGTCTGAATCCCGATATACATGCTAAAAGGTACAACTTCCTTAAGTTTTGTCCATGAGTGTATTGTCTGAATCCCGATATACATGCTAAAAGGTACAACTTCCTTAAGTTTTGTCCATGAGTGTATTGTCTGAATCCCGATATACATTCTAAAAGGTACAACTTCCTTAAGTTTTGTCCATGAGTGTATTGTCTGAATCCTCGTACATGCTAAAAGGTACAACTTCCTTAAGTTTTGTCCATGAGTGTATTGTCTGAATCCCGATATACATGCTAAAAGGTACAACTTCCTTAAGTTTTGTCCATGAGTGTATTGTCTGAATCCCGATATACATGCTAAAAGGTACAACTTCCTTAAGTTTTGTCCATGAGTGTATTGTCTGAATCCCGATATACATGCTAAAAGGTACAACTTCCTTAAGTTTTGTCCATGAGTGTTTTGTCTGAATCCCGATATACATGCTGAAAGGTATAACCTCCTCCAGTTTTGTCCATGAGTGTATTGTCTGAATCCCGATAAACATGCTAAAAGGTAAAACTTCCTTAAGTTTTGTCCATGAGTGTATTGTCTGAATCCAGATATACATGCTAAAAGGTACAACTTCCTTAAGTTTTGTCCATGAGTGTATTGTCTGAATCCCGATATACATGGTAAAAGGTACAACTTCCTTAAGTTTTGTCCATGAGTGTATTGTCTCAATCCCGATATACATGCTAAAAGGTACAACTTCCTTAAGTTTTGTCCATGAGTGTATTGTCTGAATTCCGATATACATGGTAAAAGGTACAACTTCCTTAAGTTTTGTCCATTAGTGTATTGTCTGAATCCCGATATACATGCTAAAAGGTACAACTTCCTTAAGTTTTGTCCATGAGTGTATTGTCTGAATCCCGATATACATGCTAAAAGGTACAACTTCCTTAAGTTTTGTCCATGAGTGTATTGTCTGAATCCCGATATACATGCTAAAAGGTAAAACTTCCTTAACTTTTGTCCATGAGTGTATAGCTCTCTTTTATGTCTGTTATTTCTTGTTCTTTCTATATTCTTCTTTACCTTTTTGTGTGATCTACTCTTTTAATTATTTCAGAATATTGGTCAAATAGTCTTTATATTTTAAATCAAGAAAAGCTAATCACCTACGCGTTTCGGGCCTGGTGTAGTGTAGGTATATCGCTTAAAGAAAAGTCTCCCATACATTCCTATACATCACCAATGGTCCAAGAAAGATCTAAGACGCTATAAAAGATGTATGAAGACTCCCATACATTAAGAATAGATAGCATACATGGAGAGAGATTATCTCCCATCAATAGATATTAATAAATTGATTGTCACCACCAGACTGCGCTGCACTCGACTTCTAACTATGTACCTCAATTTAAAACATACCGGGGACATAGGTTTGATCATTTTTAACACAATTGAAGAATTAGTTGCAATAAATATATCATTTTTGTGTATTTTAAAGGAAAGCGTTCGAGTCAATGCTCTTTTCAAAGGGCCTATTTACAAGATTACAAGCTGGATATATATTTTAAAAAAGCACATATGCTCCTGGTCAGGATATGCCCTTTTTTATTTTTAATATCAACACCTGACCTTTTTATATTATTTTTTAAATTGTTTTTTCATAAATATATATAGATAGATGGAAATTTTGCCGGGAGTAAATTGATCTAAAAAGAGATAGGGCTCCTCTCCCGTCAAAATAGACGTCAAAACTAGACGCCATTTATTGACCGTCGTCACAAACTAGCGGCTTTGTCACCGACCCGAGGCCGCTAGTTTGCAGCGATTGTTAATACATGGCGTCTAGTTTTGACGTCTATTTTGACGGGAGAGGTGCACTATGCTTTTTTACATATATAATATGATGCATTCGTACGCCATCTGTTATACTAAATTTAAACTATTTTTGATGTGTCTGATTCCTTTTTTATATATAAAATAATTTTCTACTGCCTTTACTGCAATAATAAAATAATAAGAGGGTCTGGCTCATCAATGGTGAACCCTCCCAGCGGTATGGGATATTAAATGGTAGATTAAACTGGCGAAACCGCTGGGAGGGTTCCCCACTGATGAGCCAGGCTTTCCCATTATTTTATCATTGCAGTAAGGGCATTAGAAAATTGATTTATTTAAAAAGACTCATACAAGTCAAAATAGCTTGTTATATTCTTTTTAGGCCAACCCATTTTCTTGATAAATCAAGAAAAGCCAACCACGTACGCGTTTCGGGTTGTTGGTCTTCGTCAGCGTGGTGCAGGCTGTATCTCAAGGACAAAATTGCTCGGTTAGGATATGAATATTTTAAATTTTTAATATCAATATCTGAACTTATCTATTTTTCTTACTTTTTTCCTAAATACAAATGTTGACCCATATTAATAATTTTTTACTCTACATCCATTTCGATCTATTTGTGCCTATGCAAATTTAAAATTTATCTCATCATAAAGAATATAAAAGACTACTCTATACTCATGAAACAAAACTGAAGGAAGTTGTACCTTTTAGTATGTATTTCGGGATTCAGACAATACACTCATGAACAAAACTTAAGGAAGTTGTACCTTTTAGCATGTATATCGGGATTCAGACAATACACTCATGGACAAAACTTAAGGAAGTTGTACCTTTAACATGTATATCGGGATTCAGACAATAACTCTGAAAGATATTACAGTGACTTTCATATTGTAATGTATATAATCAGGAAAACAAACTTCAGGATGAAACGCCAATTTTTTAAGTCTACCAACACAATAAACATATAAAATGAAAGAATTTAAAAGCGCGAATGTTTCTTTTATACATAATACAAACTTCTACTGTCCTTACTGCGATGAAAAAATATATTGACGTATAGATGACGCGTTATTGCTTTGTGTTAATTTATGTCTAACTGACCTTGTCTTTATTGTTTGCGGAAGAGCATTACTCGATGCAAATATTTGAATGTAATTCTACTGTCTTAAAAGCTTATGTCCATAGTTTGTTTAAATATCATTTCTAAGATTCCACCCTTCAGTGTAGCATATAAAAGCAGAATGATTTAATACAGTATTAGAACTCTGAGAAGCGGTCTGGTGGATTAAATTGGCGAAACCGCTGGGAGGGTTCACCACTGATGTGCCAAGCCCTCCCAATATATTTATTTCATCGCAGTAAGGGCAGTAGAGTTTGTATTATGTATAAAAGAAACATTCGTGCTTTTAAATCCTTTCATTTTATATGTATAGATGGCGCGTTATTGCTTTGTGACAATAAACATTTATATGATACAAGTTAAGCAATGAAGGAAGATTTTAGAGTATCAAAATATAAATATAAAAAAATTTAATACTTTGATCATAAAATATAATATTACAATATTGAAGACACACGAGTTTTAACCATGTGTGAACAGCCTCTGTCTCCTTAAAAAAAAATAGACGACCGACGATATCAAAGAATTTCCACTTCGTTATTTTTTATCCATGAGTGTATAGTGATGATTGTATGATTAATGATGCGTATGTTACGCAGGGAACTACCTCCAACAACACCCACCCGTGGATTAAACCCCTGGACCCCTACAATCCAGATATACTGGAGTTCAATGAATCCCAACCTTTGGATTCTCTCAAAGACATCAAGAAAGATATCGTAAGTACATCCAAACCGGAATGGTATAAACCTTCGATAATTCAACATCCCTCATTGGACATTTATACCCGATAAAACAAATGCTTGAATAATCTCGATTCTTTTATAGAAGTCCTACCCCATAAGTCAATTCGAGTAATCAAACAGGGCTCTCACACTTATTTAAGTGTAGAAGTCAAACTGCTTTCTCTTTACAATATGTATAATACATATCTATGTACATATCTACATATCATCACATAAGTGCGGTGCACTTACAGTACTATTTCAGTTGAAGGACTCATTATGACTTGGTTTAAATTGACAGAGTCTTTGATGAGAGCCTATCTCCAGGAGTGACCGTATTTATCCAGGTTATTATTATATGGTCTCTCATGGGAGACTGACTACTGTATTGAGATAACATGGAAGTTACTCTGATAGTATATGCACATAAGTTAATACAAAGCAAAATAACCGCCATCTATATATAACGAATAAAAACATTAAGACACGAATGTTTCTTTTCCCAAATAAATCAAACTTCTACTGTCCTTACTGCGATGGAAAAATAGTGGGAGGTCTTGGCTCATCAGTAGTGAACCCTCCCAGTGGTTTCGCCAATTTAATCTACCAGACCGCTTCTTTAGAGCTCTAATACTGTATTGGATCATTCTACTTTTACAGTATTAGAGCTCTGAAGAAGCGGTCTGGTAGATTAAATTTGCGAAACTGCTGGGAGGGTTCACCACTGATGAACCAAGCCCTCCCAATCTATATATATAAAATTGAATGTCTGTGTGTCTGTGTGTGTGTCCTCTATGGATTCAAAAACCATACATCCAATCGCCGTGAAAATTTGGGATATTATTAGGCATATCCCGGGAAAGGTTTACGAAAAATAATTTCTTGAATATCTTAAATATCCTTAGAGTTATTTGCAGATTTGTAGCTTTGACTCGCAAGCGGGGGGCGGGTGACCTCCGGGAACTACGTCCATCTTCCATAAACGACCATGATTTTATTCAACTTATCGAGTATTTTTCAAGGGACCGGGAAAATATGTTCACTAGATAAAACGATGATTTTGTAATGTATAAAATTAGGAAAGACAAAATTCAGGATGACTCGGCACACAGGGGCCGGGAAAAAATAATCACTTTATCGAGAGATTCACGACCATGATTTATTCAACTTATCGAGTATTTTTCAAGGGACCGGGAAAATATGTTCACTAGATAAAACGATGATTTTGCAATGTATAAAATTATGAAAGACAAAATTCAGGATGACACGGCACACAGGGACCGGGGAAAAATGTTCACTTTATCGAGAGATTCAAATTTACGAGTTTCAAATTATCAAAATATATATTTTTTTAAATAAGTTTATAGAGAATTGTTTTAACAAATGTTCGTTAGACAAACCTTTACTCGGGTAAAACCTCGGGCGAAGCCGGGTACGTCCGCTAGTATTTATATATTTTTTCGCAGTAAGGACAGTAGAAGTTTGATTTATTTGTGAAAAGAAACATTCGTGTCTTAATGTGTTCATTTGTTATATATGCAAATTACAAAATTTATTTTGTCCATGATATATATTTATATCAATTTTTTCTCCTCATTGAATATATAGACAAAAATATATTTTAAACTTAATTCTATTGACGTTATGTGCCGCTGAGTTTGTTGTTGACACACATTAATATTAAAAATGGCATATCCTGACCAGGAGCACATGTGCTTTACAGAAGGCAGAGCGCCATCTGGTGGAACAGAAATCAACTAAACATTGATTTAGCCTGTTCCCTGATATTTGGCCAACCCAATTTCTTGATAAATCAAGAAAAGCCATCTACGAACGCGTTTCGCGCTTTTGGCGCTCGTCAGCGTAGAGTAGGCTGAACCACTGCGACCAAAAAATATTTTTTTGTCCCATTGGCTTCCTGAAAAACCAAGAAATGGGTATTTAAGGCCAAACTTGCGTAAATACGCTTAGCACGTTAAAAAAACGAAAGAAAAAAATAAAAGATAAAATCCTGACCAGGAGCACATGTGCTTTACAGAAGGCAGGGCGCCATCTGGTGGAACAGAAATAAACTAAACTTTGATTTAGCCTGTTCCTGTTATTGATTTCAACACCTGATCTTTTTATCTTTTATTTTTTCCTTTCGTTTTTTAATACACATTAATATGTTATAATACCTTGATAAAGGTTGGAGTTCAGCCAACTGAAATATTGGTAAAATAAATGATATTTTAATCCAATATATGCCTTTTTAATTAAAGATTTATTTATGGGTTGCTCTATTTTTAATATGCAAATATGTAAGAAGATCATGTGACTTTGTGTCCAGACCTTATTGGTGGAGGACAATCCTGAGGAGACATCTGCTGGTGACATTCTGGTGGAAGGTGACATCGCTGTACCACGACAGGTCCAACGAGATGGCTCCCATTGGTTGAAAGCCACCATGAACATCCTCTCACTATGGCCCAACGGTCTGGTGTCCTACACCTTCCATAGATCTGTCAACGACTTTACACGATCCGTGGTTAGAGATGCACTTGATTACTGGCAAAACCATACGTGTGTACGTTTCCAAGAACGTTCAACGGATTGGTGGTTTATACGATTCAGATCAGATACGGAAGGATGCTGGTCTTTTGTTGGCCACATCCTGGTGCCGTTCATGGGGCAGGACATCTCAATTGGACCTGGTTGTGAATCGGTAAGTCTCCTTGCTTGCTTGACACAACTTCTGTAAGATGTGGTTGTTGTTGTCGTGTCCAAAGAAGAGTCTCAGATGTCTCCATATATCTCTATCACAGCAGCAGCAATGTCTACTATCTTGGGTGTGTAAAGCTGCTGCTCTGGGTCTAAGTCAATTTTCTGCAAGGCTACGGCCATTGCTGGGTATGAGAATATGTGAGTAAAAAAAAAGTTGTCCAAAACGAGATTCGAACCCTGGCTGTTGCTGCATGAATTCAACAGTATATATCATTGCTCCATCAGGCTCCAAAGTGTCCAATACGGGATTCGATCCCGGTTCGTGACTGTCGGGAATCGAGGTCTTTACCCACTTGTCCACTAACTCTTTAAAAAAATCCTTCGAGCCGGATGTGAACCAGCGACCTAAGCATCACCGTTTAAACATCTACAAGCCTCCGCTCTGCCAACTGAGCTATCGAGGGGTGAGAATTGTCCAGGGTAGCCTAGTGGACATGGCATCTGCCCGGTAAGCGGAACATTGTGGGTTCGGTTCCCATCCCTGGAGAATATGTGAGTAGGTGTTAGTTCCACACCAGGACAGTTGTTACATGTCCTATAGGTTCTTGTGCCATCTGGATGTATTGTCATTCCTTTATAGTGTTTTGTTCTAAATCTTGTTATAGTTTTTGTCAGTTTTCTCTCAGAGTAAGATGTTAAATAATACAATAGGTTTCGTTTCCTTGCTTTACAACTTCTGTAATATGTTAATTAATACAATAGGTTTCTGGACGGTGGATGAGAGGGTAACACGCTCGATTCCCGACAGTCATGAACCGGGATTGAATCCCGCGTTAAAATTTGTTTAATATCTGAATAACCTTCACATATTATTCATTGTTTCAATTATCATGAACTAGGTTGCTCTTGTTGAGCGGTACCTATTAATGTGATTTGAACCAGAACCAGGTTTCTGAAGAGATGAGTTTCTTCTCATATTAATGTAATTTCAAGCTTTCGGACATCTCTCCTTTTACAGGAGTACATAAAGGTTTTGTCCATTAGAGTGTATTTTTTCTTTAATATCACATTTCCAATACAAAGCTTATGTCCATAGTTCATTTAAAATACCCATTACAAGAGTCTAGCATCAGTATCACTATAAAAGGAAGATCGAAAAAATTCAATATAACAACGGTATGGTAGATTAAACTGGCGAAACCGCTGGGAGGGTTCACCACTGATGAACCAGGCCCTCCTTTTAATTTTTCCATTGCAGTAAGGGCAGTAGAAATTGTTTATTTTTAAAAAGAATCATACGCGTCTATAATAGTTTCGAATTTTGATGACAAATGAGATCCTTAATTTTTTTTAAATTTACTCGATATATTAATAAAAACCAAAGTTTAATATTCATTTAAAACGTATATATATTCAAGCCTCCTCATATACATGTTGCTAAGTTTCATATGTAAATAAGATAAATTTACATATACAAAATATGAAAAAGGCATCTCCTTATCTATCGTGCAACTGAAAGTTGCTGATGGCTTGCGCCATTTATCGGAATAAATATCAACTATTCTCGTTGATTTTTTAATTATTCTAGAATTAGCCAAACACCCATTCTTGATTAATCAAGAAAAACTAACCACGTACGCGTTTCGGCGCAAGCCATCAGCAACTTTCAGTTACACGATAAGGAGATGCCTTTTTCATAATTTATGCAACTTATACCAGTACAATATCACATTTGTACTATTTTATCACATCTAAAAATATATTCGAAGTTAGGATCAGACCTGACGTAGCCACGCAATAATATTTGAAATGAAGGCGATAAAAACGTGGTGATTTTCTTTTAATGGTAAAACACTTTACCCCAATACCCACCCACCCCAATACTCCGTGTTTTACCTCGCCAATCCCCCCAGCTGAACTATTTACCTACTGTATTGGGCTATCTTTCATATCCATAGTTTTAAAATATTTCCAAGTTGTAACCTGAAGAAGGTCATTCTTGCCTGAAAGCTTGTTTTTTTACCATTAAAAGAAAATCACCACGTTTTTATCGCCTTCATTTCAAATCTAAAAATAAGTTGAAATATCGAATAATAATTTTCTCTAAAGCTCTATATCTCTTTTTTACTTTTTAACAAGGTTTTTTTAGTAGGAAAAAGTATCAATTATACACATACATACATACAAAAGCCTTTATTAAGACATGTAGTCATATATATATGGATTTACTATGGAGTTTTTAAATGAAAAGATTAAAAATGTAGAAGTTCCAATCACATATAAAAGTAATTATGGAAATTTATATACAGAAAAACTTAATTAAGATAATTAAAATCATAAATAGATTGTTCAGGGTAAATCCGAGAAAAAGAAAACTTCTTATACATGGATTCAACACTCAGTGTCTGTAAATGGAATAAAAAGTGAAAACTAATCACAGTTGATGATAATTATGAAATTTATATACAGGAAAACTTATTTAAGACAATTAAACTTATAAACAGATTGTTCTGGGTAAATCCGAGGAAAAGAAAATTCTCTTATACATGGATTTATCACTGAGTATCTGTAATTGGAATAAAAAGTAAAAGTTAATCATATTTAAAGGTAATTTAATCAAATTTATATACAGGAAACTTAATTAAGACAATTAAACTTATAAACAGATTAGTCTGGGTAAATTGAAAAAAAAAGAAAATTCTCTAATAAAATGGATTTATCACTGAGTGTCTTTAAATGGAATAAAAAATAAAAGTTAATTATATTTAAAAGTAATTTAATCAAATTTATATACAGGAAAACTTCATTAAGACAATCGAGTCAGATTAGTCTATTATGATGCATTATGAAGGCGAAACTGCTGGGAGGGTTAATCACTGATGAGCCAGGCCCTCCCATTAATTTTTTCATTGCAGTAAGGACAGTAGAAATTGTTTACTTTTTAAAAAGAATCATACACGTCTATAATATTTTCAAATTTTCAAGATAAGTCACTATGTAAATCCTAGGAAAAGGAAAATATATTCTTGATTATATTGTCAAGCGGCTCAGCGGCTCCAACTACGAGAGGCCCCATGGTACACCTGTCAATCATCCCTGGACTCTGGGGATGGGGCCACAGTTGTGAAGGGTTCTGGGAATCTGATCGGTTGGGGGGGGGCTGACGTCGCTCATTAGGATTATCTTCAACTTGGGGTAAGTTGTACTTTCTCTCTCTCCCTATAAATACCCACCTTTATAGTAAATTAATTATCCCTAAACTTGCCCTTGCTTTATTTATCTCCGCGACAATATGAATGGCAGTATATTGAAAAATTTCTATATATTACCAAAAATATACATCCGAAAGATAGAATCCTTTGAAATACAGTCGAACTTGGATAATTCGAACCCCAAGGGACCATAAAAAAATTCGAATTATCCAAAAATTCTAATTAAAAACGGAAATTCTATTTATAGGAAATTCTAGGGACCGAGATAAATATTCGAATTAAAGAGGTTTTCGAATTAAAGAAGTTCGAATTATCCAAGTTCTACTGTATAAACAATAATAAAAAAAAACAACCTCAGAGGATAAATTTCCAACTTTATTTACATATTATCTCAAGCTTTTTGGTATTATAAACCTTGCTATAGGAGTATATGACATGAATATATAGGAGTTTATTGTCATATACTCCTTTAGAATGGTTCTATAAAACACGAAAGCTTGAGAGAATATGTAAATAAAGTTGGAAATTTATCCTCAGAGGTTGTTTATTATTATTATTGAAAAATATAAATCTACTAGCCGAATGACCCGGGCAACGCCCGTGTTTTACCCGATTGAATGTTTTGATTCAAATACTATTTGTTACAATTATAAATTGGCGCCTTAAATAAATGCATATATTCGTTAATAACTATAGCCTATGTGCTTTATCTGTCTATGTACTGTTGGCTTCCGTAGGCGTCTCTTACTGGGAAAAAGAAAGAGAGGATTCCATTTAGTTATTAACTAATATATGCATTTATTTAAAGTGCGACCCGCTCCAACACAATAGTTACAAAAACCAAAAAGCGAGTGGGGGGGGGGGGGACAAAGGTGGCATGATCGTAGCCAACCAATAGGAGAGCGCCATTCCAAAAAAAAGAAAAGCAAACGGTGACAGAGATGAAAACTGAAGAATTAAGAACGCATGACGCTCGTAACTGTATATAGAATATTGTTGCACCAGGTTGTGGCTTGGAAGACTCTTCAACCTTGATTCTATCCTGTGCTGGGTCTTGTATCTTACCAGAGCGTGTTTCAACCATCCTACAAATTTATAAAAGGGAATAATGAGATAACTTTAAGTAGCCTCCAGAATTTATTTCTCACATCAAAGAGAGCAGTGAAGTCACACAGTGTACCTAAATACAAATGGTGATTCTATAATACATATATTCTGTTTAATAAAATAAATAAATATAAAATATAAATTTGAATTTAATATATATGAAAAATAATATTACAAATTAAAATGAAATAGGTTCATTAGCCATGTGATTCAACAATATACAAGCTCATACATATGTGCATATATACACATGTGGATATGCAAATTTCTGTAAGTTGATAACGTAGTCGTGAGTGTGTTGTAATTCCAGTTGCTGGCAACTTTCCAGATGTTGTACAAGTATCTTTAGGACTCCTACACACAAACATTTTAGCATATATATCGGGATTCAGACAATACACTCATGGACAAGACTTAAGAAAGTTGTACCTTTTAGAATGTATATCGGGATTCAGACAATACCTCTAAAAGATACTACAGTAACCTTTATTGAAGACATATGAGATCATTTGTTGAATGAAATAGCAGGAGTATAGATACAGGCCAAGAATTGTTTAGAAAGACGTGACAAGAGTATAGGAACAGAACGTGTACATGGTGACATGACAGTATATATGTACCTAGAATAAACAAGACTACACTGATTAGGTAACACAGGACGTGTGTGTACCAACAAGAGTCCATCAGTCCATACAACGACAACTATGTGTCCAGAGAGACGTGGTCATCCACGAGGTGGGACATGCCCTGGGATTCCATCATGAACAGTCCAGGATAGACCGGAGGTCCGCAGTCCGTATTCTATGGCAGAACGTGAGACTGGGTGGACTCACCCAGTTTACCTCAGCACTGGACTACGCCCGTGGGGTGGAATATGACCTCACTTCCATCATGCACTACAGTCCTATGGCCTTCAGCACGCGGCACTTCGCCAAGAACACCATCGTGGCTGTGAACCCGCATCATCAACGGCTGGTGGGTCGGGGACGCGGGCTGTCCTTCCGTGACAGCAAGCTGGCCAACCTTGTCTACCGCTGTAACAGTGAGTTACCTGTCTGCTACCTGTCCTCTACGACATTTAGATGACAAACTGACCTGGTTGGTTGAAATACAACAACAACACGTCTATAATATGAAAAATAGTACAAAATGAATTTGTACTTTGATCAGGTAAATAAATTAAGAAAAAAAGGCATTTCCTGATCTGCAATATATTCTAGCCAGAAGA